GATGTTCTCTGTGTGTCCCTGACCTTCCAGGTTGCCCCAAGCTGGCATTGCAGTGCCTCTCTTTGTAGCAAGGCAATTACCTTGCTTATCTTCTGCAGAATTATAGTTATTTGAAACAGTTAGACTCTGTTGTATTTTTTACATTTTTGCTTTAAAATCTGTGTTAAAGACAACTTTTGAAAGCATCATGAGGAGAGCAGTAGGTGCCACAAAGAGGAGAACACACTGATTTTCCCTTTTGCCCTGGAGAGTGAGTCAGGCCCTCTCTTGGACAGTTTGTAGAAGACAAACCTGCAAAGAACGAGGCTGATATTTCTGCAACAACTCTGTTTTCTTCAGTAAGAGACCAAAGTGCAGTATTCCCTGTAAGCCAGTTGCCCAGAGGCACCTCTGGTCCTGCAAGAGCATCCTGCAAGGGTGAGTGCTTCCCTGGCACAGGCAGGCACCACTGCCCCACCAGGACTCTGCCCAGAGATCCAGACCTCATGTGGCACTTACTGCCCCTGCCTGGAATGCCCCTGCTGCAGAGCATTGTTATTTACTAGCCAGTGACAGACGCATACCTGGGGACCGAGAACTGGGGTAAGCTCAGAAATATTCCCCACTCAAAAGCAAAAAGGAAAAAAACCAAACCAAAACAAAAAAACCCCCCGCCTGCTGTTGTTACAGAGAAAAAGGTGCTATTAAAAGAATAGCAAAGAGACTGGTAAGAGTTTGGCACTGGTCCAAAATGAAGATATTTTTAGTGCCCAAAAAGATTCCGTGGAAAGTCTGGGGGGAAAAAAGAGAAGATGGATAGGGGAGGTGAAAAATGAGGATTCCAGATATGCCTTTGCAGTCCCATTTTGGGAACAGCTGTAGGATCTAGAACAGGGACGCTGATGTGTTTAAGTGCACCATACATTTTTAATGTTCAACTTCTTTCTAACTCCTGGCCTGAAGGCCTCTGAGTTCTGAGGAAATGTTCTACAGGGTCTCAACCAGTTTGTAATTCCAGTGCTCCGGTGCTGCCCTTCACAGCCCCCTCAAACTGGAGCCCTCAACCCTTAGCTCGTCTAGAAAGGCATATTTTTTAAGTCAGAAAGAATTACCCTTTTTTCCCAGATGAATGTGATGGAAAATTCTAAGTCTAAGTGAGCGCTAACCACAGTGTCCAACACATGGCAAGGGCAGGTTGGCAAGTGGCTCCAACATGGTATTTTCCAGAAGGCATATCCTGGCCACTGGTGCACAGAAACCTAAATTTTCATTAATTAAAGATACAACAAACCCCCCAGAATGGTGCAACATGGTGAGTTTAACTCTTTGCAGTGCTCAGCATCAGAAGGCCATCTTTGCAAAGGGGCAGATTCGGGCCCACCTCCCCACAGTCTGAGCCAGGGCAACATTTCCCTGCAACGTCTTGGAGATGGAGCTGCTCCCTGATGGAGAATGCTCTCCTCACCTTGTGGACATCCCATGGGACTCACACATGGACATCCCTTTGGGATCAGTGCATCCCTTTGAAGACTGCTGCTCTCCTCACGCTAGGTTTGCAGGCTCCTGCAGATGGTTCCTGCTGCTGGATCATTATCCACCGTCTGTCTGCAAGGAGCCCTCAACACTTTTCTCTGACATCTCTTGGATGTCACTTAACTGCACTGCACATCATGTTTTCATTGTGTAGGAAGCTGAGAATTGAAGAAGCTGGAAGCAATTAGGAGAACCAAACATCTCTGCCACAGGCAATTTTTTGCCAATGTAGAGATGTTGTCCCATCTTCCCTCTCTGTTTGTGGGGCCCTATGACTTTCCTCTCCACTCCTCTGTCCTTGAGGCTGGAGCAGAAGCCATTTCTCACAGACAGCCATTCCACAAGACAAAAATACAAGGGGGTTTTCTCTCTCTCACAGGCCCAAACTTTAGGAGCGAAAAACCCCGCTTTGCTTTTGAGCACTGCACCAACCTGGGTAAATTCAGAGCTGTTCTAGAGAAAACAAAATGAACCAAAGAAGCAGAAAAGGTCATCAGGCACTGCTGGCAGGGCTGGAACATTGGCAGCTTTTCTTCCCACTTCCTTTTCTGTTACTATTTCTTCTGCTAGATGCTTCTTACACTCTGCCTTTGCAGCAGGGCGCAGAGGAGGAGTAGATCTAGGAATGAACATGGCATGATGAAGCATTGAGGCCACCAGGGCTGATGCTCCCATGCAGACCTGTGTTCTCAGCTACCTGAAGTCCCCTAGGGCCCTCTCCAAGCCCCCCACTCTGACTTGCCCCCAAATTCCCCAGGGACTCTGCTCTGACCTAGCACTACATTTGTGATTGCCCTGAAATCCCCCAGGGCTGCAGCTCAAAAACTACCACCGCTTTTTCCCATAGGCACCAAGGGGGAAATTTTTGCTTTCCCTCCATGTGAAAGGTGCTGGTACCTTGAAAGCTATGGAATCTTAGAAAACGGGAAGCTGGACAGGACAAACGCAGATCTAAACTAATGTGGTTAATCAAACGTTCTCCTTCTATTTGAGATAAGATGGTAGTTTATAGAAGCTTCTACATAATTTACAGATTACAAAGGCACTCTGATTGGCAAGCTAACATTGTTTACCTTTTCTTTAAGGTGGCCAAACTTTTCACACTGCAGCTCTACTCTAATTCATGCTCGGATAGCTGATTACTTTGTAGTTACCTTAACAGAATTTCTGACTGCGCTACAACTGAATTCTCACTGCATCAAAGGCTTTGAGGCCCCATCAAGGCCGCTTATCAGGGCTTAGTCTGAGTGGGTAGCTCAAACCTCATTCTAAACATAAATCATGACCTCTCTCTCTCAGAAATTCTGTAACAGTACCTTCTGGGGTGAACAAAGACTCTGGAGACCTGGTGTGGAGGTGATCGCCAGCTGCTAAAAATGTTCAGCTTCTACAAAGTGCAATTCCAGCCATGCTCAGTCCTGTTTCTTGCTCCTGTGTTGTGCTCCTATGCCTTCCTCACCCACTGACCAGAGTCCTTCAGCTGCCTAACCACTAGCAGAAATAAAAACAAAGGATAAAGCAAGGCAATGGGATCCAAGGTGCCTCAGGACACTATGTAAAACAGCACCGCTAGACATAGCAAAGATCAGCCCTGGTTTGGGAGGAGTTGGGGTCACCAGGGAGCTGATCTGGGCCACGCTGGGGTTGTGGGGAGAGCACTGCCCCCAAATACTCACGCTAAAGGAGGTTGTCTAGGGAAGAGGCTCAGGAGTGACCTCACTAGTCTCTACAACTCCTTCTTCTACAGTCTCTTCTACCATGCCTACAGAAAATGGCCTTAATCTGGGACAGAGGAGAGTCAGACTACGTGTTAGAAAGGGTTTTTCACTGGTAGGATGGTCAGGCATTGGAATAGATTGCCCAGGGAAGTAGTGGAGTCACCATCCTGGCGGTGTGCAAGAGGTGTCTGGATGTGGCGCTGGATGATGGTTTTGTGGTTAAGGCGTTAAAGTGTTGTGCTGGGTGGATGGTTGGACTCGGTGATCTTGAAGGTCTCTTCCAACCCTGACAATTCTGTTGGAAATGATGCAACTTGAAAAACTTTTTACGTCACTTTAGGTTTGTTCGCCTTTGCTCAGGGGGAGGGGGAATTGAAGTTTCTCTTTAAAAAGATTCTGTTCAAAGAATTGGGTGAGGTCTGATGAGTTCCATGTCTAGATTGGGAGTTGCCAGAAAATACACAGGAGGCAAATGAACATTAATGAATATTACACAGGGTGGGGTCCGAAACCCATGGTCTGGAAAAAGATCTATAAGAGAACCAAAGAATGAAGACCTAATCAGCATCTAAGGTGAGGGGATTAATAAGCATTGAATACTAAGGATTGTGTAATTTAGGACCAATGAACATGAATGTCTTTGAAATTTTTTTACGTATAAATACGTGAAAAATCTAGAACCATATATGGTGGAATGATTTTCACTGTGCAACCCGGACATGCGTGGATAATCATTTCTACTGCACATCCTGGTCAGAATAAAGTAATGCTGTGATTTTCTAACACTGGAAAGATGTTGTCAAAGAGTTCCTGTTTTTCTGCAGTTTCACCAGCAATTCTGCGGTTCTATAAAGGGGGCAGGCAAAAATATTCGTGGCAAAGGCTGGAGGCTCTGCTCACGCTGCAGCAAGGAGGGTGTGAAAAATGCATCTTTTATGATTGGCTTTTAGCAAATGTTACAATGAATATTATATGTGTAATGTTAGAAAGTTATGCTGTATTAATCCTTTTAAGTAGTGTGTTAAATGTAGTTTTAGGTTACAACATAATGTTAAAATAGAAACTGCGATATAAGATTTGTTACAAGCTCAAGCAGGAAGATGAGATAACCAAGAAACTCTTCACACAGAGATGTCAGCGAAGGGGGCCCATAAAAAGTTACAGCCTCCTTATCAGAAAAGACAAACATTCTCCCACCTTCTCTCTGTCTTTTTGGAACCAGCAAGATTAAGGAGAAGAAGTTGACAAAAAACCATAAAAGTTCTTAATTTGCAAGGAATTTATGCATCATGTACGAGATATATGAATATGCAACAGGCTATTGCTTTTAAAGTTATTCCTTTGGTCACAAGGGATGCTTTTTGTGACTTAAGTGTCCGAGAGCATCAGGATGTCTGTAATTCTTTGCTTTTTATTGTCTTGTAATTGTCCTAACTCTAAACTTTATTACTCTAATTGTATTACTATTTTTATAATAATTTTATTATTATTATAATAATAAATATATAACCATGTATATATTATTAACTTTTAAAAATTTAAAAATCAAGTGATTGGTGTTTTTCACAGAGGGGAAACACAACCCAAAGGTGAAGAAAGCCCTCACAAAATCTTTCCCCAGCGCAGACACAGAGTGGGATCCAGCCAGGATCAGGGAAGGGCTGCTCAGCCAGGAGGAGGGGAGGGGTTGTTCGTCCACGGGAAATGCTGTCAGCGGTTTTGTTTTTAAAAACGAAACAGTTCATTTCACTGCCCCTGTGCCGGTTTCTGTTCGGAGGGTTCAGCCCGGCTCTCCCGAGGGCAGCCCCGAAAATGAACGGCAGCCGGTCCGTCCGCCTGCGCCGGGCCGAGCCGGGCCCGCCCGAGGGGGGCCGGGCTGGGGAGCGGCCGGGGACGGCCCGGGGAGCTGCCGGGCAGGAGCCGGGCCCGGGGCACCGCCAGGGAGGGTCTGGCGGGGCTGCCGGGCAGGAGCCGGGCCCGGGGCACCGCCAGGGAGGGTCTGGCGGGGCTGCCGGGCAGGAGCCGGGCCCGGGGCACCGCCAGGGAGGGTCCGGCGGGGCTGCCGGGCAGGAGCCGGGCCCGGTGACGCCGCCCCGGACGGCCGCGGAGGGCCGGGCCGGGCGGGACCCGGGCCGGGGCAAACGGGCCGCGGCACGGGCTGCGGAGAACGAGCCGCGCCCCATGGGCCGGGCCGGGCTCCCCTGGGCCCCGGGAAGGCCGCTGGAAGCGCTGGCCGGGCTGCTCGGGCTGGCGGCCATCGGGGCGCTCGCTGTGTGAGTACCCGCGGGGCCTCCCACCGGCTTTCGCCGCTTCTGCTTCTCACAAGAGAAAAGGAGAAGCAGTGCCTGGGTTGCGGAGGGTTTCCGGGGGAAGGCGTGGTTGGTATTTCACGTCTGAGGCACCCGCGGGGTGGGGGTGCTGCCTGTGCGAGCACCCGCTGTTGTAGCCTGCCCGGGGAGCAGGGCCGGGTGTCGCTGCCATTGCCTGGCCCTGCCAAAGCTCAGCAGGCCAGCCAAACCTTATCCCTTACCCCTTATCCCTTGTTTTTGTACCCCTGAGGGTCGGCCTCACCTTACCCCAGGCTACAAAAGCCGGCGGATGCTGACGTGAGCTTCCTCACGCACTCAGAAGGGTGGAGAACACGGTTGTGGTCAATATCCTGCACATGATTCAGCAGTCCTGCCCTTGGTTTTTGGTCCTGGAGCTGGGTAGGGTAGGCAGCGTTATCCTGCCAGCGTCCCAGCAGGACATCTCCAGGTGCCCCTGGCCACACACTTACCCACGGTAGGTGCACAAGGTCCACGTGCTGTGAAGAAATACATCATCTGGTGAGACTCATGTGCCAGGGAGGGTATCCCGCCTGCTGGAGCTTAGCAGGATAAACCTATACTGAACTGGGAAAGATTTAATTCTCATTCTCCTTTTCTTTTTTTTCTTTCTCACAGTGTCTTCTACACTGAAGTAGTCATGGGACAAAAAATGTGTCCTAAGGGGGTGGAAAACTATGTGGCATCCATAGTGCTGAGTGCAGTTGGTGACACGCTGGGATATTACAACGGGAGATGGGAGTTCCAGAAGAGTGGCCCAGTCATCCACAAGGAGCTGGCAGACATGGGGGGACTGGGCAACATCAGCCTCCAAGGTTGGATAGTCAGCGATGATACCGTGATGCACTTGGCCACGGCCGAAGCCCTGGTAGCAGCCGGGAAAAACCCAAGATTACCACATCTCTACACTCTGCTTGCAAGGAACTACAAGGAGTGCATGAATGACATGGAGGGCAGAGCTCCAGGTAACCCCTCCATCCTGCTGTCTGTCTGGGTAGAGGTGTGTTGTCACTCATGTCTCTCCTTCTGCTTGGAGCTGGGGCTGGCCCCGGCTCTGCTTTTGGCTGTTTAGAGCGTTAACCGTATTTCACGTAAAGGAAAAGTGTTCCACACTCAGTACCTGTTTCAGGGTGAGATAAAGAGAACAGAGTAAGGCAAGCTGAAGTGGTTTGGGCTTCTCTGAACTAGATGAAAAGGATACTGTTTTGTTCACATTTACAAAACATTCTTACAGGTGTCTTTTGAGGCCCAGCCTCAGCTCAGGAAGGGTGACGGCTTTTGCACTTTGGATTCCTACATTCAGTGGATAAAAAAAATTCACATTCAACTACTGTAATGCACACCGTGAGATGCTGTGTTAAAGCAGCACATTTAAACAGATAATTAATACAGAACTTCTCATCATAAATGCAACAAATTACATGTAAAATATATTTAAAGGCACAAAGATCCTTGGAATAATTACACTTACTAAACCCAAAGTCTACTTGTGGCTAGCTCTGCATGCTTGATTTCTGCACCAGGACAGTCAGGCCAATCTTCTTTTCTGAACCTTGTACTTCCAACAGCTCTCTTTTCTATGCATAGACACAGTGGTGCTGAGTTTGTGTCACAAGCAGTGGGCCTGGCAGTATTCAGGAAGGGCATTGTGACAGGCTACAGCAGCCAAGACATGTATGACATATCTCTGTGGTTCCTAGTTCTCCCAGCCCTCCTGACCCAGCTCTTCCCCAGGGATTGGCCCAGGGTCTTCTGGATGCTTGGATTACTTTTAAATTGGAGCTGCTTAGGCTCGGCCTCTAATTTGACCAGCGCAGGAGGCATGAAGTATCCAGGAAACACTCAAATTCAGCACTCCTGTGCAAAGTTTATACATTGAAATTGTATGCATACTTAGATGTGCTTATTTGGAGTGGCCAGAGTATGTCAAGAGTGTTCTGTCTTGACATTAAACATGGAAAAGGCCAAATCTTGCCACTGAGCATAGTGTTTCAGAGCTGTGCATTTCCAAAATAAACCAGGTTGGAAACCTGAACAGGAATTTATTCTGCTTACCTTTCCACAGTGGGCTCCTATCCTTGTGTAAAGAACTAAATTATCAGTCTTTTAACACCCATATTCCCAGTTGTTGGGAGTGGCCTAATTAATAAAACATTTAGGAAGGGGTAATGATGCTTGTCAGGACAGCTGAAGTTGGCAGATCAAACTTCCAAAGATTCATGGCAGTTTTGGTGAAGCAGCATAGTTTAATTCCCCCAGCCAAGATGGACTAACCACAGCTGCCAGTGAGACAGCACCTGAAAGGATTTTCACTTTCTAACCTTGGTGACTAAAACCTAAGATGAAAAGGAGAAGAACCTATAATTTAAATGTTAAAATTTAAATAATATCTAAGCATAAAAGGACACCTACTGCATTTCTTCTTGACTAAACTGAGCTGCAATATGCCCAAAAGAAGTTCCTCTTCCTAGAAGTGATGAATTTGAAAGCAAAATTGCTATGGACATTAAGAGGAGTGACAAGGAAAGGTCAGATTATCTAGATTACCTAAAAAAAGAAATACACATTGTTTAGTGGGTCCAAAGACAAAAAATTAAAAATTTTGCAATCAGAATTGCTCCTGCTGCAGGTACAGGAAAGGCATTCAGCTCTGAGAGTTTAAATCCTGACCCTTAGCAGTCTAATTCCCACTGAAGGGAATACCTAATCCATACCCTGAAAAGCTGTCTGGATTCTCCATGCCATATTGATAAATCCCAATGATAAAAGCTGCATGCCAATAACTTCTTTTGGCAGTTCAGAATAAATAAATTTTAACTGAGAACGTAACCCAAGGTGGTGTTCTTCTGGCCTAAGTACTCACCAGGGAATTGCAGACCTGAAGGCTGAGAGTGGAAAGTTGCTGTTGGAACTTTTGCCCAACACCAAAGAGATTTCCTTAGAACAGTGGGGGAAAGTCACATTGATGGCTCACATGAGGCAGTCCAGACCTGAAAACCCAAAGCTGCAGTAACAAAGGGATTCCCACAACGTTTTGAGTCATAGGACAGCCACAGCAGGGTCCCTCGGGGACACAGCCCCAGGAGAGAACTCTGGGGTAGTAATTCAATGACAAGGTAATCCCTACATCCACTTCTGCTGTTTGTAATGTGCCACAGCCCCAAATTCATTGTTCCTTGCAGTTTACAAAGCCAATTAATTAAGCAACACAAGCATAGACAGACTTACTTTTTTCATTGTACAACTAAAGGAAACATTCATTGTACAAACAGGAAACCTGCTTCAAAAATGCCTTTTGGTCCTAGTCCTCTCCCTTTGGAATTATTTACCACTATGTGGTTTGTGTAACTCACATTTTTTTACGTGTACTGATCAACCCCAAACAACTGTTACCCGAAGAGTCTAGGTAAGAGGAATGAAGGCCTATCCCAAAAATTGAGTCCAGCTATTCTTGAAACTTTTCCAGGTTGCTTTAATTCACACACTACTTTTTACTTGTATTTTATTTCCTTCCTTAGACCAGTACCATACTTAGGTTACTTTTAATTTCCTGTTGTTAGTACAAAGGATTCCTAACCTGGATGTAAAGAATTTCCAAAACAATTCGCTAATTCAAAAACAGTTTTTTTAAAACCTATTAAAAAAATAATTAAAAAAAAGAAGACCTGATGTGATTCCATCTTAGTCTTCCTAGATCAGCTTTCCAATGTTTTAATATTTTAACTGTTTAAAAGTGTGAGGGATACTACTTGTAATACGTCATAAATTGTAAGTCTTAGCTGTCATACACTGGTTTGTTTTACACAATTTTTTCCACTTGCAAGTTATCAGTAGTCATTTCCTAAAATAATATGCACAGGCTTAAAGCTGCAAGCAAATTGTATTGCAAAATAACCAGTCTTTCTTTCCATTTAGAGCCTTGTCATCTTCCCTTTTATTTTAGCTACAATTAGTGCAAGAACAATCTCACTTTTTATCAAGGACTGAGGTGTGTGGTCTCAGCCTGCCCAGACTGGTCCTGAAGAAATGTTTTTGTTTCTCGAAGTTTCAGCAAGAGTAATCTTTGCTTTTGTTATGCAGCTTTTGATTTTAAGCTACCTTAGTCCCTGTGCTCCCTCCCTTCCCCCTTGCTTTCCTGGAAGAAGTTCTCTTTTACCAGAAAAGTTGGCACAGCTTTTTAAAAAATGTGGCTTTGTTTGACAGGTTCATTTTAATGTCCTATCACAGGTTATTGCGTACAATGCTTGGTATGGTGAGATTTTTAGAAAAATGCCTCAATTTTCTGTTAGTCATCATGAAGTTGGAAATTATGCTGATATCCCTCTTAACAATTTTGATACACAGCAGCCAGCACTGAATTAGTAAACTACATGAAATTTAAGAGTCCTGAACATGTTCTCACACTGAGACATCCTAAAAGCAAACTCACAGACACTTCAGTTAGAGGCTGGTTGTGACCAGTCCCAGTAGAGCTAAAGACACTTGGCCCAGCATGTGACATTATTGTTGACAGTGGCCAGCTGTTAGTTATTTTTAGCATATGTCCAGAAGCCAGTCTTAAAGCTGTGCATGATTTTGGAGATATTTCAGTTACAAGGGTGCTGTACATATAGGTAGAACAGGCTGCCATAAACCAAACCCTACTGCCAAACACGTACATGGAATTGCAGAAGCCAAGAGCTAGTAATCTTAATTACAAGCGAGTAATCTGACCTGGCTGTGATGAGCAAGGTCACAGATCATGGTGACTGAGTTACACCAAAGTGAGGCGAATTTGCTTGACCAGGCTTCTTCCTTGATACTCTGTTCTATTTAGTTTGATTTCCAAAGTAACAGAGCGCCTGCAAATTCATCAGCTACCTGTCCCAGTGAGGGAACAAAGTGTACAAGCAACAGTCTAGTTTTGGGGCTGTGATAACAGCCAGCTGCTGCTGTTACCCTGTGTGTCAGAGAGAGGACTCAGCACACTGGGGTTAGTCTGTTGAGTCCACCTTTTGCCATTGTCCAGCACATCAAAGCTTAAGCTGCTTGAAACCTGCCTTGATTTACCTTCCTGCTGGAAAAGAAGTATTTACAATTTGGCCAGAAGAGAAGACTAGACGAAAAAAAGCAAGGTAGAAGAGAATAAAAGATAATTCAGTGTTCCAAACCTGTTTCTTCTTTACACACAAGCATTTGGGCTTAGCTCTCAAAATATTTCACTGTGTTGGCAAGGGGAGCTGGCTGGGGTCTGAAATTAGGATGTGCTTTCTTTGTCCTATGAATGTGTTGGACTAACAAGTGTTCATCTGAAGAAGCAGCACTGGAAGAAGCAGAGTAATTTATTTTAAAAGTAAATAGCAGAAATATGAAAGAGATGGAGGTGGGCTTGCCTCATTTCTCACAGTCTTCTGTAGTTACCCTTTAGTGGCAGTGTTTGGTGATGAATTAGTGAGCTGGACAAACCTTTGGTTCTCCTCTTTCATAAGATGAAGCTGCTCTTCAGCTTATGAAAGAACAGTACAGTAAAGCCAGTTATGCAGACTGTGTTGAGGTGAGAGAGGTGCTACACTCAAGGCTTTCTGACAAACTTAAACTGCAGCAAGGGAGAGCTGGAGAACATTTCCTGTCAGTATATCTTCTATTAGTAAGGCAAATGAGGAGCTTGTGGGGTCTCTGCCTTTAGAAGTCCTGGGAAAAAGCAGTTACCTAGACTGGCCTTGTGTCAGATATCCTACAATTCTGTTTACAGAGAGAGAGATATCTAGGTATTTGTGTCTATTAGTATTTTTTTTTGCTAACACCAAAGGTAAATATAAACCATGTCAGTAAATGATCAGTGAAGTGTTTCCTACCCCTGACCTTTTAATTGTTTTCACAAACAAAAATTGTGAGATCTGCTGGGGAGGACGCAGGTTGCTCCAGCAGTTTAAGGCAGGATATGTATGTGAGCAGACAACTGATGTTTTTAAAAGGAAGCTCAAATCCCTTATACAGAGCAATGCTTTCTTCCCTACTGCGTTGCCTGTGTTCTCCCTGTTCCCGAGCTACCTCCTGCTGATGTTTCTGTTTCTTCCTTCTCTTGGGCTCTGCGGCTGCTGTCTCCAGGTGCCACGTCTCTGGAAAGCACCACGAAGCTGGATCCGGGGCAGCCGAACGGCTGGCAGATCCCGTTCAGCCCGCGGGCAGGCGGCTGCGGGGCCGCCATGCGCGCCATGTGCATCGGGCTGCGCTTCTACCAGCCTGCCCAGCTGGACACCCTGGTCAAAGTCAGCATCGAGAGCGGCCGCATCACCCACCACCACCCCACCGGCTACCTGGGGGCCCTGGCCTCAGCCCTCTTCACGGCTTATGCAGTGAACAGCGTGCCCCCCGTGGCCTGGGGAAAGGGGCTGATGGAGGTGCTGCCACAGGCAAAAGCCTACGTGCAGGAGTCCGGCTTCTTCGTGAAGGAGAACATGGAGCAATGGTGAGCTGCACTCCCTGCGCCGCCATTTCGTAAAGCCCCTGTACGACAAAGCGAGCTGTGCGCGTACTTAAGTTTCAGTAATCATATGATTATATGATTATATATTATATGATATTATAACTCCTAGGGCAGCACACACCTGCCACAGGATGAAATCAGTTCAGAATGCCTTAACTTGAGGGAAAAAAAAAAGGCAGGTTGTGTTTGGGTCATGTACTTGTGACCATTTTTTGGATCCAGTATGAAGTAGGTAGACTTGTCATCTCAAGCAACCATGATCTTATGAAAGATGGCAAGCAGGGCTGGGGAACAGCATCAAGCTTAGGGCTGAGCTCAGTTTGAAAGTTATAACCAAATCTGACTGCATATTCACTGCACCTCTGTGTGCAGGGGCACACACAGAGGCAGAGCTGCTCTGAATTTGGGAGGATGACTCAGTTCTCACTCTGAGCCTTTGAATCCTGCAGGTGCTGGGCTTCTCCCATGTGACTGGAGGGAGGGAAAATCTAACTCACTGAAACTTGTCCTTGTGCCTCTTACTGTAAATCACGTCCCTAGTTTTGACAAATGGGGGCCGCCTGCCATTTTGCTGAGCCCTCGCTCCGGGCTCTTGACGTGGCGCGTTTTCTGCTGGCGCCTACATGGTGCTCAGAACTTACAGCCGCTCCATCCCGTCCTGTTTGGCAGGTATTACTTTGAAGAGCAGTGGAAAAAATACCTGGCAGAGAGAGGCATCTCAGATGGGGTCTCGTCGCCCAAATTCCCAGCCAAGTACGGCGTGGAAGAGAGAGACTCGTTCTACGCCTCCCTCAGCTACAGCGGCTGGGGAGGCAGCAGCGGGCACGACGCGCCCATGATCGCCTACGACGCCCTGCTGGGCGCGGGGGACTCCTGGACGGAGCTGGCTCACCGCGCCTTCTTCCACGGGGGGGACAGTGACTCCACGGCTGCCATCGCCGCCAGCTGGTGGGGCGTCATTCATGCCTTCAAGGGGGTTCCCCCCTCCCTCTACGCCCACCTGGAGTACAAGGACCGCCTGGAGAAGGTAGCCAAGGGCTTGTACAGCATCATCTAGGCAGGACATGGCAGGGCACCCCACAGGCACACTTACCCAGGGCTGTTCAGTGCTCTCTTGCTTGGTTTGCAAACCTGCCAGTTGAATCTCAAGAATGTAAGCCAGAGCCAGACCTGCCTTTTCTCTGTGTGCTGGCTTCAGTGGGGAGGCCACACTGGTGCTAGTTTGGGGCTGGTGTTTTGATGGGAACACACAGTGGTCCCCCAAGACATCCCTCCTGTGCTGTAGGGTGGCTGCATATCACCTGGTCCTCAAGAGGAGCAGGAGCACCCACAGCACCCACAGCAGCAGCAGGACAGGCAGCAAACCCTGCTCAGGCTGCCCCAAACCAGCATCCTCCCCCTACAAGGAGAGCAGGGAGCACAAGCAGCCCATTGTGTCTGGGGACAACCGAGCTTTCTCATAAAATTATTTTAGCAGAGGATGTTTTTTGTTTCAAATGAATGTGGAAAAAACCCCAAACCCGACCTTAAAGGTGTATGAGCAGTGCATTTTATCCAATTCCACATCACTTCTGCCATACAGGTAGGAATGCATCATGCTAACTTCCCTATTTCAGTGAATGTGGGAGAATTCAAGACTCCTGACCAAATCCTTACTTAAGGGAAAAATGGGTAAGGAAAATTAACAGGTTGCATTGTACATCAGCTTCTGCAGTGAACTATATTCTGCTTTCATCAAGGTTATTAAAGGTAATTTGCTTAACATTTGCTATGCATAATTCTACTAAAATAATATTTTTCTTCAAATCCAGACTATGACACAGCAAAGTACTTAAACTGTTTTCAAAACAATTTCAAAACCAGTTTATCCCATTCAATAAAAAGACCTGACAGACCTCTGTTAAATGTTGTGTTCTATTATGGCATGGGTTGAGGGTTGGATGGGTTATGAAATCAGAGGTGCCAGGTGTCTGCAAGCTGTAAGAGAGAGGAGACGTGCTACCAGTGGTAGGGAGAGAAGTTATTGCGTCAAGGAGTAGGGGCAGAGGGAGAGGATTCCCAAGAGGAGGGCCTCAGCACACCTTTATGCTGTGAGTGCACATAAAGGCATAATAAAAGCCCAGATCTGACAAAAACCAGCAGCAATAGGATTCACAATTTCAACACAGTTTACTACAGCTCTCGGGTGTGTTGTATAAAACATGTTTTAGTGCAACATAGTACAAAGTTTTTGTTGGGTTTTTTTTTTCACTTTTTTCTTTTTTTAAAAATCCCAAACATTTTTCCACATCATGCATGGACAGGGTCCCTCTCTTTCTTCTTGGGTTCGTTACAGAAAGTTACTGCAGAGAGAGTGGTTTGAAAAGCTTTGTGTTAAAACTCATTACAGGAAGAGGCTGCCTTATAAAAACTAAGAGAAGTTTGAGACTGGGCAACACACTGCCAGAGCAGTGGAGAAATGTCACCAGCAAGGTACATTCAGGGACCACTGTGGGAGCCCCTTGCCAGGAAAGTCTGGGCTTTGTGGTAGGCCTCCAGGAGAGCCCTGCTCTGGGGCAGACAGGCTGGCGAGGAGGAGCGTGGCTCAGGTGCAGAGCAGAGCTCTCCCAGGAAAGAACGGCTCCCGCTGACTTCATTCTCTCTTCTTCCTTAAAGCTGAAGTGAGTCGTGGTTCCTGCCTAGGAGCAGTATGTATAGGAGCAGTACGTACAGCAGATAGTACAGTTAGGAAACAATTACCACTGGCTTGCAGCTGCAGCTGTTTGCACTTTGATTCTTCATTTCCATTCACTTCTCATCCCACTCCTCTCTTTGCTGACGTCTTAGCCAGAAAGGGAAGACAAGTGTGCGGGTGTGCGATACATACAGATATAGGAATGTGATTTTATGCATATGCTGGGGCCAGTAAGCAGTTACTTCTCAAGGAGGCAGACTTCACAGAGGGACAAGTGAAACTGGGGCTTCCCAGCAGAAGAAACCAGTGCTGTTCTGGTGGAGGTGCAGAGGTGGCCAACTTCAAATGCCTTTGCATGGGACGATCTGCAGCCACATGGGTCCTCTCCCAGACAGGAGCGAGGCTTCATGGTGCAGATCTCCTACCTGAAGCTTCACCACCTCTGAAATGTCAAGGCATCAGGGTCTAACTGACTTAGTGCTACAGAGCATCTGCTGAGGTCCCCTCTGCTCCCAAAGAGCAGTCCAACCCTCTGGAGAGGACAACACTGGTGGGTATGGCATCTCTCACACGTGAGGCAGGGGGGTCTTGTGGCCGCACCCGTCTGCCCCGAGTTGGCTTCAGCCATGCTGCAAAAAAAACAAGTGGCTGGATTTGCCAGGAAGACATCAAGGAAGACAACAAAAGGCCATTTTTGGCAAACATTTTCTTCCGCCAGACGTAACGCTTACAAGGGAGGAGGCGGTTTCCTCCACAGGACAGGGTAGGGGTTCTTGGCATTAGGGGGTGCAGGAGGTCAGGTGCCCCACGTGGCAAGAGTCCGGTTTGGTTCACAAGAGCCATATCTTTCACAGAAAGAACAGCATTTCCTGCCACAGTGACTCTTAGAAGAGCAGGTGACGTTGCCAGGAGGGGGAGCTTATGGAGAAATGGATTCTCTTCCTAAAGTCTCAGAAACAAACAGAAGATGCACATACACACAGGGGGAAGATTTCTCTTGGCCAAGGGGATAGGGAAGTCCCCAGGGTGCTGATGTGCTGCAGGCCTGTTGCTCTGTCCAGGCTCACACTGGGGAGTAGTGCAACACAGGAAAACTCGTGACACGTGGTGCTTAGCTGCACATCCCCGCTACATGGCATGTTTGCTACTGGGCTCCTTGGCCGAACCATCTAGGGACTGTGAGCCTGACCCATGGAGCTTCTCCTTTCTTCCTTCCTGGAGTCTTTACTTTGGTCATGTTGAAGCCTTCAGAGACTGGATTAAGCCTCCCATTCCCAAATGACTATGACACAGAGGAGATCTGCCTCATCAGAGGTGGCAGCATGGACACCACGGAGGAGCATGACTCTGGTGAGACCGTACAAGGACCCTCTTTGCTACAACACAGGGCTTTCAGGTGTTCTTCCTTCCCCCTTCCAGTTCCATGAGACAAACTAAACTGCTTTTGTCCTGACCGCAAGCACGCTCAATATTCAGTCTCTCCAAGACCTGGAAACACTCCCAAAAGGTGAATTGCTCCCTCCTGAGAAAATGGGTAAAATGGAGGCAAGAAGATGCTGAGGCTACAGCCAGTCTTTGAAATGGACCTCTTGACAGACAGCCCAGTTAACCCCTCTGGGGACAGACCTGGCTTTGTCTGTTTTGGAAGAGGGAGGAGCTAGCTCAGTGCACCTTGGGAAAAGATCTTCTCCGCTGTGGCACTGAGTCTGAGAAGGAAAAACAGTCTGTTTTGGAAAACATATATGTTTACTTCCAAAGACATCATCGTAGGACCAAATATCCCCTAGGAACTCCACACTTTGTGGAGGACAGGGAAAGTCTACAGTTCTTTGTGTGACCAAAAAATAAATGATAAAAAAGCAATAGCCCAAAAGACAGCAACTGATATGAGTCCAATTAGTCCGAGAGGAACATCTGCTATGTACAGCAAGTACCTCTGTCCATTGGAGTGAGGGGATATGTTCCCACAGGTGCTGGAAGAAGCCTTGGACCCTCCTGCTCCTGCTGGCTGGGCAGAGCTCAGCCACTGTGTTGGAGCACAGACACTGAAACAAATGAAACAAGAACAACAAACCCCACCGTGGTCCTCAGGGTTCCCGGTGTATCTCTAGTTCTCTCCCTCTGTGTGTCCCTACAGGTGTTTCTGCCTCTTTAGTCCATGGTTCCCGGGTGGATGCTGAGGACTGGTGGCTCTAGGCAAGTGGGAGAGTAGTTGAGGTGAGGCTCTTTGATCCACAGCAAAGGAACCCCATTCTTGCCCTCTGAGTTCTTGCTGGAGTTTCGGCTCTTGAACCGCACCAGGAGGATGGTGATGATCAAGATGCCAAAGATGGGGAAGGGGTAGAAGAACACAAAGTAGAAGAGGGCATCATTGGAGCAGATGACAGACTGCAGCGTGGAGCCTGGAAAGAGACACAAGGGTGGTCACATTTCATGGTTTCTCTTTAATCAGGGCATGCAAACTTCCTCAGAAACATAGAAAACCAGATGTTCATTTTTCTATGTCAAAGCAGGAGGTTGAGCAATGGGAGAAATAACAGTGCTAGAACAAAAGAAAGTTGTAACAGGGCATGTTTCAGCTTTATCCCCTCAAGAGTTTCATGAGTGATAAGAGTCCTCCCTGGAGGAGATTTTATAGTATCTTATAAACCCTTGAACTGATTGGAAAAGTACCAGCACCACAGACTTGCCCCAGTCCCACTCACTCCTTGGACTTTTCATCTTGGTTGAACCAAAGATGCAGAAGATGCCAGGGCCATGTGCCCAGACAGTCATCACCTCTTCTCACCTGCATCCTGCACGTGCACAGCGACCATCCCTGACTCCTCCTCGGCCAGCCGGTACCAGACGCCATTGGGATCTGCCAGCCACTCCTCCACTCGGCACGAGTAGTTGCCTGTGTCGGCACTGCCAGCCTGCAGCACCGTCAGCCGGAAAAGCACTGCTGAGGGCCTCTGGAAGCGCAGGCGGCCATCCCAGCGGCCGACCTCGGGGCTGAAGATGGCATCACGGCCCACAGTCAGCACCACTTCCCTCTCTTCCTCCTCCTCCTCTCCCTCTTCCGCGTGGTCGCTTGCCTCCTTGGCCCGCAGGCTGTACCACGTCACTGCAAAGTGGGACTCTGGGCTGGAGCGGGACAGAATGCTGCAGTCCAGTGGGAAGGACTCCTTCTCCTGCACCGTGAGGTTGGCAGTGGTTGTGTCCACCTGCAGGGTGGGATCTGAGATGACAAAAATCAAGAGGTGAGTGCTGAGCCGTCATCAAAACCACCCTGTCTCAACACGAACTGTCATGTCTGGTGCTGGGCATGATCCAAGCAAAACCCGAATCTTGATGCAGCCTGCCAAGACTCACAGGGACCTCTGAGGCCAACCCTGCAGGCCCAGCATCCTCACCTCACCACGCACCATTTTGCACAGGGGCAAACAGGCGCTGGCTGCAAGCACCATCCTACCCCTGCCCATCTGCACCCCAACGAAGGGACAAGAGGAGAAAGCTTCTGCAGCTCATCCAGACGTGCTGTGTATCAGGATACCAAGGTTTGGTGCATGTGCTGAGGAGCCATGTGCTATTCCTCCCCAGCTACTGCTGCACAGAACATTGCACTCCCGGCTTTTTATTTCTTTGAGAGTGCTCAAAGGACTTGAAAATCATTATGACATAAGAGAAGAAGACCTTTTCCAGCAGCTTGAAAAGTCATTTAGGTAAGAGGTTACTCCACAGCGATGGTCTCAACACTGATGCAGCAAGGATGCTCCAAAAGTCTTCCTCATTTTTCTTCCTCTAGTGCTTGCTGCAAGGCTAAAGAGATATTTTTACCTGAGACACTGTGGCCAGAATTCACAATGAGTTGATTAAAGGCTGACTTCAAGAGTAATTAACATTTGGTTTAGTCATCTTGCCAGGGAGCACATACTCCAGGGATCACAATCAGTCTGGATCTAAGCTTTCATTTAAAGATAAAAAAGCCCCTTCCAAAGTGGGAGCTGAGCAGGAAGGGCAAGTCTATAGCTCACCAAAAGAGAGGCACTTTCTTCTCCAGTGAGGAGAGCTGGGAAAGCCCTCCCTTGTGCAGACACTGGGTGTCTCTCAGGAGGGGGCTACTGTCCCTCAGCTCTCATCAGCCACAGGCCTGCTGTGCCCAGGGGGCTTCTCATTACAGCACCTGCCCAACACATTTTAAATGGTCCTGTGAGGAAAACCTTCATTAACACCAGAGC